ACCCTTGCCTATAGGTCCCCAGTGTGCTGGGCTGGGGTCCTGGACCCTTGCCTATAGGTCCCCAGTGTGCTGGGCTGGGGTCCTGGACCCTGGCCTATTGGTCTCCAGTGTGCTGGGCTGGGGTCCTGGATGCTCTGTGCTTCACCACTCTTACAATACCGCAGCTCCCCAGCCCTGCTGAGGCCACAGAGCTGTCCACGAGGGCCTGGCAGGCTTTTCTCCACCTCTTCTGGTCTTGGTCATCTCCCTGCTTCCTCCTGGACCCTGGAACTGTTGCCCAGTAGGACCCACTCCATGGCCCTGCCCCTGTGCCTGCACTGGACACCAGTGACAGCTACTGCCCACTGATCCCCCACCCTCATCTCTTCAGCAGTGAGGGAGTCTACTCCAGGGTGGGGGGTGTCAGCGGCACGGGGTCCTGGCACCAGCACGTCCAGCAGTCTGCCCTGCAGCTTTGCCTCCCCTTCAGTGTGGGGGTGGGTGGAAAAGGGCCCCCACCACACCAAGGCCCAATGTCTTGCCAAGTTTTCTCTGGCCTCTTGCGTTAAAGACAGTGATCACATCTCATCCATCCTCACTGAGGGCCTTCCATGGGGTCGCCTGTTACTGACACCAGGGCTGAACTGCTCTGGCTCATTGGGGGTTGGTCTAAGGTCCCAAACTGGGTCCCCAGGGACCCCTGGTGGGAGGGTCTTGGGAGAGCGGAAGGAGGGCAGGCCTCACTCAAGAGACTGGGCAGCTGTTCCCCAGAACCCTGGTCCACACTGAACTCTGCACCAGGCGCTCTGAGAAGCTCCATTTCCACCTCATCGGGGAGGAAGCAGGGCAGTGGGCAGCGGGGCAGTGGGCAGCACGCAGCGTGGCTGACCGGTCGGGCCGGAATCACAGGCTGGAGAACAGCCCTCTCTCCCGGCTGCTCCGTTCCACCCCCACCCACTGTTGTTCTGTGTGGGGCAGGACCCCGCCCCCCTTGCTGCCCCGCCCCCACGTGGGGGAGCCCAGCCTGGCAGGCGTTTCCGCACAGCTCAGCAGAAACGCGCCCAGAGGGTCAAGGACCGTAGAATGGGCTGATCCATCATAAAGTAAACTGTTTCCATTTCCCAGGGCAGGGGAGATGAAAAAAATCAAAACAAATCGGGAAAGAGCCCAGCTCCCCGTGCCCCCCAACCCCTCCTCGTGAGAACAACCATCTCTTTTACAGGAATTTTACAGCCAAATCTCTTAATGTGATTATAAAAATTATTTCTTTACTAGAAATGGCATGATTTCTTTTGAAATCTCCTGCAGGGGGCAACTCACGTGGTCAACATCGAGCACAGAGGATGGGAGGGCTGAGGGCAGCCACAGGGTCTTGACCTGGGCACGTGCACGCTTGTGTGTGCGTGCGCACAGGGCACGTGTACTCAGTGTGCATATGTGTGTCAGGCCCACAGGGGGTGGTGTGCCCGAAACGTGTGCACTTCTATGTGCATACATGTGTGTGCACAAGTTGTAGCATGCAGTGTGTGTTTAGTGTCACACACGTGCATGTGCGTGCATGTATATTTGCACACAAGCATGTTTCGTGTGCACAAGTGCAGCGTGCATGCGTAAGTGTGCATGAACAGCAGTGGATGCACGTGTGCATAAGCACAAGCGTTTGTCCATTTACATACATACATGACGTGTGTATGGTTGTATGTTCACATGAGGGGTGGTGCCTTGTCTATGTGCATATGTAGAGTGCATGTGTGTGTGCCGTGCAGATGGTGCACACATGGCGTTTGCATGTGGATATGTACTGGCATGCATGTATGTGTCAAGTTCTTGTGTGTGCATGCATGCACATATATATGCACATACATATACCTGAGCCTGTCGTATCTGTGGGGGGTGTGTATGAGTGTGTAGTGTTAGTATGTTTGTATGCATGTGTGCACATATATACATGAGCTGGTACCTTTGTGAGTGCATATGTGTGGTGGTCATTCGTGTGTATGCATGTGCACGTGCACACATACGTGGCCCTCAGGCAGGACTGGGCAGACCTGACACTCCTCCAGTTTAAAGCCTGTGGAAGTGTTATGGTTTCCATGGTGACCTGGGCCAGCCTGGCGTCTGGGAGGGTTCCCTGTGCAGCCCCTTGCTGCATGTTCACCCCCTTTAGCCTCTGGGCCTCGGCCACCTCCTCATGCCTTTTCTGGGGGCTCCTCTCCATTTAAGGGCTGCTTCTTCCAGAACCTGGAACTGTTCTTGAAGCCCCTGCTTTTTTTCCTCACCCTAAGTCCTGTCTTTCCTGCCCCCATTTGAAAACCTCCCTTCCAGTTCCCCATGTGGCCGCTGACCAGCTGACTTTGACATCTGTTGAAAGGGGACCTTTCTTTTTGGAGGCCAAAGTAAACAGCCTGTCATGTAAATCACACTTGCCCCCCAGCCCCACTCCGTGGCCCTCTGGAGGGTGCTTTGGAAGGAGCAAGCCCTTCTCCTTTCCCCATTGCTGCTAGCAGGACTGCCCCCCACCCCGGCCTGGAGCCTGGCGGCCACTTGCTTCAACGCCAAGTCAGCGCCCGCCTGCTATTTTTGGCAGGAAGCCCAGGACCTGAGGAGGAGGGGCCGCTATGGCCCTGCGCTCCACCTGGGCTGGGTGCTCCCCCTTCCTTAATACCACAGTGGAAGCCTCAGGATGTGGCTGAACCCCTAGGGTTGCAGCCCTCCCCCACCAGCCCTGTCAAGCAGGCCTCAGAAACGCCCCTCAGATCTACTAGCCAAGCCTCAGCAGCCTCAGGTGGGGCTCCAAGGGCTCCAATGTCAACAACCTCCATTTCTTGTTCTGCCTCTGACCCAGGCACCCCGAGATCCAGCTCGTACTATCCCGATGTATAGCCTCACAGATGGAGAGGGAAAGAATTGGGATCTGTTCCCTGGCCAAGGGTTTCTGAGCCTCTGGGGGAAGGGACCTGGACAGGCAAGTAGACTGCAGGTAGGCAGTACTGAACAGGGACACTCCCACATTGAGAGGCCTGTCCACCGAGGTCTTGGTGCTGCTGAGCCGAGGCTCTGAGGGCTAGCTGTCTGCTCACTGGAGAGTCCGTGAGCCTTCCCTGAGCACCACTGCCCATCCAGCCACTCTGAGATCAGGATCTTCTGAGGACTGGGCATCTGAGGGGAGGTATAGGGACCAGGTGGGTGAGCTCCACTGGACAAGCACATAAGTACAGAGGGCAGGGTGCACCCCTAGAGCCAAGTGGGCGAGGACCCATATCCAAGTCGCAGGCCCTGAGAAGCTGATTGTTGAAGTGACTGTCCCTGGAACTTAGCCAGGCCCCTGACTGGGCACAAGTCATGTTGTCCCCTGAGGTCACACTTGACAGCCTAGAGGACGAGAAAACGCTCTCCGTTTCTCCTCACAGCTAACAGTGAACTAGTCGGCCCTGGAACCACCACTTCATTTTCATCCATCCCGGCCACACACCCCCTTACCTCTCTCCCCTCACTGCTCCGTTCTGCTGCCAGCTTCCGGAGGCTACTGCTCAGAGATGAGGCCTCGCTCTGGTGGGCAGAGATGGCATCTGCAAACTGGGCCTGCAGGGCCCTCAGCTCTCTGGTCAGCAAGGAGATGGTGGCCTGGAGGGGGACACTGGATGTCGTAGGAGCCTGTCTGTTGGCCTCTGGAAGTTATGTACTGTCTTAGAATCAGGTGGGCAACAGCTGAGCCTGGCCTGGCCTGTGTGCCTGATTGCTGCTTCCACACCAAGTAAATCTTGAAGGACCAGGGATCAAGGACAAGCACAGGCTTCTGAGGGGTTGTGATATGAAAGACAGGCCAAGCAGCCACATTCGGTGGGGTGTTTTCCTGAGGGGCCTCAGGTTGTCAGAGCAGGGGCAGAGGGATGTGAGCACTGGCCCTCTTCTAGCTCAAATGTTTCTGCTCCATGCTCTGTCAGCCTGTGAGGAGAGGATGTTCACCTGGCAAGTGAGGAGGCACAGGGCTGTGCCTCTGCCTAGCTGAGCAAGACTGGGTGTACTGAGTGTGCTGCCTGGCTGGGTGTGCACAGCTGGCTGGATGTCCTGGGTGTGCTGGGTTGGATGAGTGTGTAAGGATGGCTGGGTGTGCAAGGTTAACTGGGTGTACCGGGTGTTTTAGATGTGCTGGACTAGCCAAGCATGTAAGGCTAGCTGGGTGTGCAAGGCTGGTAGGGTGTATTGGGTGGGCTGGATGTGCTGGGCTGGCTGAGTGTGTAAGGTTGCCTGGATGTGTAAGGCCAGCTGGGTGTGCAAGGCTGACTAGGTGCACTAATATGTTAGGGGTGCTGAGTGTGTAAGGCTGGCAGGGTGTTCTCGGTGTTTTAGGCATGCTGGGTGTGTTAGGGGTGGTGGGTGTGTTAGGGGTGCCGGGTGTGTTGGAGTGCTGGATATGTTAGGGGTTCTGGGTGTGTTGGGGTTCTGGGTATGTTGGGGTTCTGGGTGTGTTAGGGGTACTGGGTGTGTTGGGGTGCTGAGCACAAGGGGCACAGGAGAAAGTCTTGTGTCTAGAGATAGGTATCCTACAACTGGCTACTTCCTACTGAAGATCTGTGGGGGGAGAGCCCAGGGCTCGCCCACACTCCTAGATGTTGCAGCCCCCATCCTGGATCCCTGATGCACCCTGCTCTTCATGAAGGTTGATCCAGCTGCCCTCTTGACCAAGAGTCCAGGCTATGGTCTCTGTCCACACGAGAGTAGGTGTTCAGTAAGGCCCCAGATGCCTTTCACGGACCAGAAGAGACCAGGTGTGGGGCCAGTACGGGTGCAGCACGCTTTAGGCGGGGCCTGTCTCCTGCTGCTTGTTCTAGGTCATCATTTCCCTTGCCAGGCTACGTCTCTCCCTTCCCTTCCCAGTGGGCTTTGCCTTCCCCTCAGAGGTGGCAGAATCCTTTACGAGCTCCCAGAAAAGCCAGCAGCAGGCAAGCACACTATACTCAGGGGACACTCAGAGCCAGTGAGAGAGAAGGCTCTGGAAGCCAGCGCTGTCCCCAGAAGCCTCTTGTTCTGTTGTCTCTGGGGCAGGTTGAAGAAGGCTGGGAAGAAGGGCCAGCCAGGACTGGGGAGGGTGAAGTGGGACAGCAGGGCCTCAAGAAATTGGTGGAGGGGCACCTTAAGACCTGAGGAATTGGGATACTTTTGGTCAAGACTTTTCCTGGCTCTTGGAGGCCTTCTTTGATCCTGCATGACCCACAGTTTCCTGGGATGCTCAGAGGCCCCAATAACAGCAGCTGTGCCTAGTCCACCAGGGGATGAGTGTTATGGTGGACCAGAGGTCCTCTGACTCCTGCCTGTCCAGTGGTGGCAGGGACTTGGTGCTCCAGAAGCGCGCTGACTCCTGTCCAGACCACCTAGGGGACCGAGGGGACAGGGACCCCAGAGGTGCACTGACTCCTGCCTGCAGCGTAGCTAGGGCAGACTCACGATGAGGGAGACTCCAGACTCCAGCCAGCTGCTCGTAGCAGCCTCAGTTCATGGGCAATTTTCACCTGGAGCCCCCAAGGCCGAGCATCTCCTGGTCAATTTGGGATTCTTGGTGGGTCCTGTGGCTGAGGGTACCCTGGACATCTGTAGCCCTTTCCATATGGGGTTCTCAATTGGAAGGACTCTGGAATTTTGCCCCTCGCCCATACCTCGCTTCCTCTCACCCCACCTCATACCTGTGCTTTCACTAGAAGCAGCTGAGGGGTGCAGCATGGAGGCTGGTGTGCATGTTGCTCATTGTGGGGTGAGGTTAGGCTCAGGTAAGGTCCTGCCTTTAGACCTTGTTGACCCTGCCAATGTCGGGCATTGTGTCTAATGGGGAAGCCTCTCTCAACTGCCGAGTCAATTTCTACTCGTGGTGACCCTCCATCACCTTTGTGAGGCTGTAAATTGTAATGTTGACAGTCACGATGGGTGGAGAAAAGATTGAAGCTGTCAGTCATTTCATGTCACTTGGGTCCACAATCAATGCCCAAGATAACAGCAGTCAAGAGCAAAAGACAGGTTTGCATTGGGGAAGTCTGCTGTTAAGTTGTTGTTAGGTGCAACCCTTGATGACCCTCTGAACAGAAGATCTGAACCTTATTCTATCATGTGCCATCCTCACACTTTCTGACACACAAAAGCCCATTGTGGCAGTCACTGTGTCAATGCATCGGTTGAAGGTCTTCCTCTCCTTTGCTGATCCTCTGCCTTTCCAAGTATCATGTTCCTCTCCAAGGAATATCTCCTCCTAGCAACAAGCCCAAAGTATGTGAGGGGAAACTTTATCATCTTTGCCTCCAAAGAGCACTCTGGTCTCACCTTCTCCAAGACATATCTGTTTGTTCCCTTGGCTATCATGGGATGCTTGGTGTTCTTCTCCAACATCACAGCTCAAAGGCATCAATTCATCTGTCATCCTTATTCATTGTACAGCTCTTAGATGTATAGCAAGGTCCTACTGTTAAGGACCTCTCCAAATTCTAAAGAGAAAAGATGCCACTTTAAAGACTAAGGTGCACCTGATCCAGGCCATGTTGTTTAAAATTGCAATGGTGTCTCTCTGGAGACTAAGGTGTGTCTGATACAGTTCATGGTCTTTGCAATCACTTGTTATGCATCAGAGAGTTGGACAATGACTAAGGAGGATAGAAGGAGAATTGATGACTTTGAGCTGTGGTGCTGGAGAAGAGTATTGAGGGTACCATGGACTGCTAGGAAAACAAACAGATTCATCTTGGAAAGGGTCAAACCGGGCAGCTCCTTGGAGGCAAGGATTCTGAGGCTCTGTCTAACATACTTTGGACATGTTGTAAGGAGGGACTGGTCCTTGGAGAGGGACATCATGCTTGGTAAGGTGGAGGGACAGCACAGGAGGGGAAGGCCCTCTATGAGGTAGATTGATTCAGTGACTGGGGCAATTGGGATGGGTGTATCAGAGATGGTGTGATCAGCACAGGACAGAGTGGAGTTTAGGGCTGTTGTACATAGGGTTGCTATGAGTTGCAAGTGACTCGACGGCACATAACAACAACAAATGAAGATGAAAATTGGAAAATGAAGGATGACAGAACAATTGATGATTTTTAATTGTGGTGTTGACAAAGAGAACGAAATATCCCATGGACTGCCAAAAGAACAAACAAAACTCATCTTGAAGGAAGTGCAACCAACGTGTTCTTTAGAGGAAAGGATGGTGAAACTTGGTCTCACTTTGAGTATACTGTCATGAGGAATCAGTCTTTGGGAAGAAACATAAAGCCGGGAATGGTAGAGGCTCAGAAAAAGAGAGGAAGACCCTGAAAAGATGGACTGACAGTGATTGGAACCATGGGCTTGAGCACATCAGAGGCAGTGAAGATGGTGGAGGACAGGACAGGGTTCAGATGTTCATACAGTCTCTGGGAGTCACAAGATCCCAGCAGCAGCAGATCTTCATGGGAAGACAATGTCCATCTTCCTTCTGTAGAGCAACTGGTGGATTTGAACCAGAGACTGGGAGCCTGTGCATTGCTAGCACACCCTCCTGTAGAGAACACTCACAGAGGTCCTAGAACAGGTTATCACCCAGTGAGCAATACCTGCACAGGTCCAGTGAGCCTTCCCACGAAGCTGCAGTGCACACTTGTCCTCCTCACAGCAAAGACTGTGCCTTCCCACCAACCTGCACTGTGCACACCTGTCCTCACACCATAGACTGTGCATTCTCACCAGCCTGCAGTGCACCCCTGTCCTCACACCATAGACTGTGCATTCTCACCAGCCTGCAGTGCACCCCTGTCCTCACACCATAGACTGTGCATTCTCACCAGCCTGCAGTGCACCCCTGTCCTCACACCATAGACTGTGCATTCTCACCAGCCTGCAGTGCACCCCTGTCCTCACACCATAGACTGTGCATTCTCACCAGCCTGCAGTGCACCCCTGTCCTCACAGCAAAGACTGCATTCCTACCGACCTGCACTGTGCACCCCTGTCCTCACAGCAAAGACTGCATTCCTACCAGCCTGCCCTGCTGTGTGCACCTGTCCTCATGGCAAAGAGTTGAATCACAGGGTATCACTCACCACAGAGCAGTAGATCAATGTAGCAATGCTTGTGCTTGCCTTGCTCTGGGTGACAGGTGTCCCTTGGACTAACTAGTCAGTCTGGGCTGGGACTTGCTTTTCTCTTCTTCTTGGGAGAGTTAAGCTCATGCAGATCTTTCCTGTTCATCAAACTGAGGCCTGGGTGGGTGGGGAATGAGCCTCAGGCCAATTTGGTGGCAGGAAGATGTATTTGTGGCATAGGGCAGGGTCCTCACTGTGGGATGCTCACCTCCGCTTGCTCCTGCCGACCCTGAGCCTCCCTCTGTACCCGCTCCAGCTCCTGTGAGGCCGCAGATAACTTCTCCCTTAGGAGGCTCCCTTCTGCTTCCCTCAAGGCCAAGACCTGTAGAAGACAGACGGTGCTGGTGAGGGGTGTGAGGATCAGGAAGCTGCCACAGAAGGCTGGCCCAGTACCGACGAGGGATTCACAGCCACCCTTGCCTAGAGTCGCTTTGTCAGAGCCCTCAATGCTGAGTCTCAGTAACTGTAGAGAGGTGAGCACACAGTCACACAGTTTTCAGAGAGGCCAGCAGAGGGAAAGTGACCTGGCAGAACTTGGCACAATCATAGATGCACATCATGCCCAGGCCATTGTGGGAGCAACCAGGAGATAGTGTATGTGTGCAGTGGCAAGTGCTCAGGGCTGTCAGCCACAGTGCTGTAAAAAGGCAGGAAAATCAGGAACACCTGAATATACACTGAGGGCGCCTAAGAGAACAGATGACCTCTCTATCCATGGAATATTACTTAGTCACGACAAAGAACAATAATGCCCTGTGTACACGGTGTGGAGTGATAATGACTGACTCGTTAGTGATTTGATAGATACATGGTCTGTCCATGGATCCAGGCATATTGATGGCTGGCTGGGTGTGTACATGGCCACACATGGAGAATTGAGTATGTGGGCAGCAATATGAATGGATGCTACAGTGCATGACCGGGTGGAGGGTGGACAGGTGAACAATGGGATAGTTAAATGAGCAGTACTATACTTGTGCAGATGGATGGTTGGTCAGATGGACATATGGATAAATGTATGGATAGATGGACAACAGATGGGTGGATAATTGGCAGATGGACAGGCAGATTGTTGAATGCATTAGATGAATGGATGGGTGAATGAATGCATGGATGGATAAGTAGATGGATGGATATGTGACTGAATCCTACAACTATGGTAGGAGAAACAGACCGTCAAGAACAGCACCTGGGGAATGCTTCACCTGCTTAGGGAGTTGCCTGCCACATGGTACTCACGTTGAGTCAAAGAATGCATGCTGAGGCAGAGAAGAAGGTGTCTGCCTGTTGACTACTCCCTGCTTTGCAGTCCCCCATTACCTGCTGCATTTCATGCTCCAGCTGCAGGAGGTGCTCATCTCGTTCTTGTTTCAGGTTTTGGATCTTCTCCTTCAGAGCCTCCCTGTCAGCTACACCTTTTGCCACCAGCTCCTTCTCCTGTTCCAGCTGGTGAATGGCCATCTCCTTCTCCTCTGTCAGTGTGAGACTCACAGTCTCCTGGGATGAGGCAAAGTAGCAGACTGTAAGAACTGCACAAGGGGCTGGGTGTGTACATGTACGTGTGGCTGGATAGACAGATGAAGGGGTGAATGGGTGGGTTTATGTATGGGTAGTTGGATAAGTGAATGGATGGATGAGTAGATGGTGACTGAATGGATGGATTGGTGTCTGGGTGGCTGGATGGATAAATGGATTGGTGGATAGATGGTTGATGCATAGCTGACAAGTGGATAGGTTGATGGGTGGATGCATGGGTAGGTAGATGAATAAGTAGATGGGTGGATGGACATTTGGTGACTGAATGGATGGAGGGAGGGATGGGTTGATGGATGGCTGCATGGTTGGACAGAAAGATGTATCAAGAGGTAGATGGGAGGATAGATGAGCAGATGGATGGCTAGATGGACGCATGAATAGTTGGATGGACAAGTGGAAGAGTGGATGGCTGGCTGGGTGGATGGGTGGATGGATGAGTACATGGGTGGGTAGATGGACAAGATAAACGGTGGATGGACAAGCAGGCATATGGAAATTTGGTGACTGAATGGATGGACAAGTGGATGGCTTTCCAAATTTGTCCAGTCCGGCCAGCTACTCTTCCCTGTCTCCAAATGGAGACACTGAGGCGAGAGCTTCCTCCGATCTTTCTGCCTCACAATCACAATATGTCATGCTACTTTTGCTTAACATTTTATAGACCTTCCTTGGATATTCATAGTGCTAAACACCACATCACATCCGTGCTTGGCACTACAGTCTCCCTCAAGTGCCTGTGACCAGTGGACTTAGGAGAATGGTGAGGCCTTTCCAGTTCTAAGGTTTCAGGTGGTAGCCAGGCCAGCTGACACTTAGATCTCTACACTAGCTCTGCACATATTTTCAGGGTCCCAGGAATGAGGGCCTTGTGCACCTGGAGGCCAGTTTTCCTGTGCGGTCCTCCCTGATCCAGCTGTGCCATATTGCCCAGCACACATATCTCCCTGACTTCTTGTCTCCAGCCCTTCCTTAAGCCCCTGAAGAACATGGAAGAGCCCTGGGAAGTGGTAGTGGACAGGTGGGCCTCCGGAGGCTGACCTTGTCCCTCTGCAGCCTCATCAGCTCCTCGCGGTGGGCCAGCACCTGGCTCTCAAGGGCCAGCTGTGAGTCCCGCTCCAGCTGTGCCACCTGCTGCCGGAGCTGCTCCAAGTCCCATTGCAGCTCTGTTTCCCGGATCTCCCCCGAGCTCTTCAACTGCTCCAGGTCCACTGTGGGAGGATGTCAGGGTCCAGCTCACAGAGCCGCCCTCCCCACCCCAAGCCCTGGAGACCTCCCACAGAGCATTCTCTGCCCATGGTCAATGCATCCTGGATCCATATACCAGGCTTCAGGACCAGCATGGTGGCCTGCACACATGGCTATGGGCTGATTGGAGGTGGGGTTGAGTCTTGAGTGCAGTTCAGAGACTAAGGCAGAGAGGCAGATGCAGGCACTGTGACCACAGTCTAGCCCTAGGCCTGGGGTCAGTGCCTCAGGACCTGCTTGACCCCTCAAACAAGGGCTGGAGTTGGCTGGACCAGGCCTCATGTTCATGACCCTGGGGCTTCCATGGGGCAGAACCTTGGGGCCCTGAATCACCTTGTAGAGCTTGCCGCGTGAAGCGTGCATTCTGGACCTCTTTCTCCAGCTGTTCCTGCTGCACCTTCAGCTTTGTTACCAGCTGTTGGGCCTCAAAGTGGCTGCTCTCCAGGGAGTCTCTCTCTGCCCTGTAGGAAACCATCATAAGACACGGGCATCCTCACCCACTGCCTACAGGATCCCTGGGTGGCTGGGTCGTGCAGCTAAGGAAGGCTCACACATTAGACAATGTGGATAGCAGATATCATGTGCTGGGTCTCTGAAAATGGACTAGGGCCCTACACAGAAACACACACCAGCTGAAGTAAACATGGAAAAGTGAAATAAATGCAAAAATGGAACAAATGACACAGAGCAACCGGAGGCGGAGTTGTGTCTCAAGCCAGTCAGCTCCTGAGGCCCTTTCTTCTCTGACCACTTCCCAGGACTCCTCTCACCTTCTACAGGGAGTCGGGGAAATCCTGACTTCTACCCATGAGGGTGATCTTTTTGGAAACTGAGGTTTTCTTCTGCTATCAGTATGTTAATGAGGTTCCATAGCGTTGATCCACTGCCACTGAGTATTTTCTGACTCATAGCGACCTTGTGGGATAAAGCAGAACTTCCCTTTAGGGTGTCCAGTGATATGTGGATGCCGTCAACTTTTTCCTGTGAGTGGCTGGTGGGCTTTAACTGCTAATCTTTTGGTTAGCAGACGAATTCTTTAACCACTACACCGCATACAAGAGTTGTCATTAGGTGATGTTGAGTACAACTCATACTGAACCTATGAACAGCCAACCTGAACCCTGGCCTATCCTGTGCCATCTTCATCGTTTCTGACACACATCTCTTTCCAAGCATGACGTCTCCTTCCAAGGATGAGTCTCACCTATCTACATGCCCAAAGTATGAAGGACGAAGCTTCACAATCTTTGTTTCCAAGGACCACCATTCTGACTGCACTTTCTCCAAGACATATCTTGTTCTTTTGGCAGTCCATAGATAATCAGTACTCTTCTCCAGCACAACAACTCAAAGGCATCAATTCTGTCATCCTCATTCATTGGCCAGCTCTCTGATGCATAGCAGGTGATTAAGAACACTATGGCCTGGATCAGGCACACCTTAGTCTTTAAATGGACATCATTGCTCATCATCATTTTGGAGCAGCCCCTGACAGTGAACTTCCTCAATGTAATACATCTCCTGATTTCCTGACTGCTGGTACCAAGGGTGTTGATTGTTGATTCAAGCAAGATGAAATAATTGATAGCTTCAATCCTTTCTCCATCTACTTAATGTAGGGAGCTTTGATGGCCTGGTGGCAAGAAGCTGTGCTGCGATCTTGAAGGCATGTGGTTCAAATCTCACCAGCTGATCTGTGGGTAAAGGATGGGCAATCTCGTCCAGTGTCATTAACTCCCTTGGGGAACCTCCCAGAGGGAGGGTCAGTTCCAACTTGGCACATAACAATGTAGAAGGTCCTATTTATTTATTTTTTTAAATTTTATTTTATTTTATTATTTTTTTGTGTGTACCGTCAAATCAGATATGACTGGTACAGGAAGGTCCCATTTCTTTTTCAGTGGTGTCTGATGAAATGGGAGAAGGGTCACAGTTACAGAATCACCAAGGAAAGACAGATGCCATGTGAAAATGTATTTGCAAGATAACAAAAAAGATACCTTGGGCTACAGAGACTAGGAAGAATCTTCCCCCAGGGCAGGGAGGG